TGACGCTCCAGTTCCTCCTGCTGCTTGCGCTCGGCGTCCAGCCGTGCCTTCTCGCGCTTGTCCGCCTCTTCGCGCTCCTTGCGCTCACGCTCCTCCCGCTCTTTGCGCTGCTGATCCTCCATAAGCTTGCGCCTGCGATCCAGCTCCACCTTGCCCTTCTCGTAGTTCTCCTTGCGCTTGTCCTCGAATGAAGCTGGACAAAGGTAGACAATTGTTACACATAATTATTTATATTTCCTTAGGCAATACTTACTTTGCGGCAAGCCCGCAAGAGGATCCGCGTCGGACATGACGGCGCCCTGGGAAGAGACCGACGTATGCCGCGAAGCGGGCTGCGAGCCGGGACGTGAACCTGCGCCAGACACGGAGCCCGGTCGCGACTTGTTGATCTTGCGCAAGCTGGGCGGCACCCAGTCGAGTGGCAGGCTCACGGGTATCTTCTCGCCAGCCATGGCCTTCTCGCACAGAAACATGGCCAAGATGAACTCATCGCAGCTGAGCCGCCCATCGCCATCGACATCGGCCAGCGTCCAGATCTGCGCCAGCGTCACCTGCGGCAATTTGCTCTGTACAAGAACGCCTCGCGCCTGGGCGCCCGTCAGGTAGCCGGAACGGGTGCGATCATTCGCATTGAATACCTGCGTATATTTACGTTTCTGTGCCGCCTGCACGGCCCACTCGCCTTGACTGTGAACGGAGACGATTAATAGAGGCTCAAGGTTAGGAGAACTCTTGATTTACTCACGGTGATTCAATGGAGGGCGCGCGTTCCGAGATGGACATATGCCGACTAGGTGGATTGCTTTGCGGTGGCGAGACAATTGCTGCAGGCACAGCAACTGGAATCGGCACCACCGGAACTGGAGCCGGTGCCGGAGCCGGAATCGGTGGCACCACAATTGGAGGAGCAGCTATAGCAACGGGCACAGCCGGCGGCACAGCTGCAACAATGCTTTTGAGTGGATCCATGGGACTCATTGAACTGGTCGAACCGCGTGGCGTCATCGTGGGCGTCGGTCCGCCAATGGCAGCCGCATCCGTTAGAGAGCTGAGCAATGTGGGCGGCAACGTTTTGGGCACCTCCAAGCCTCGCAGCTTTAGATTGATAAGCTTACAAGCTATGCTAAACTCATTGATGTTCATTTTTCCATCGGAATCCGTGTCAGCCAGTGCCCTGCATATGGAATACAAAAAACAACATATTAGAGATGTGTGCGTGAGTCGTGAGTGGGAGTGTTTTTTATTTGAGCTACGGTTATATATTTATTCACTAGTCAGTGTTCGCTTGAAAATTAAAACATATTTGGGAGCTTATTTTAATTTCCAATGAATTCGAACTTTGGCTTAATATATACATTTTAAATTTTGGTCAAATATGATTTCTATTAAGCAATTTCGTGAAGTTTTTCGAAAAATCTTAAAACAATCGTGTTAAAATACAAAAAAAATGAAAATAAAAGATTTTTAATTATAATTTTTTTTTGACAATTCAAACTTTTGATACTTTTAACAAGTTACTTTAAAAAAAAAAAAAATTTTATTTTTTAAAATTAATAGAAAGTGTGTTTCATATTATATATTTTAAGATTAAACACATTTTTTTTTATTTTTTCCTCACGAAATTTCATGTTCTCCTGGGTCGTGCTTAAGCATGAGCGCACGCACACATACCCAAAGCCACATCTCTAATTTATATCAATGAAAACCAGAACAAAACAAAACGTCAGCAAAATAACTGTTTGTTGTTTTGTTCTTATCTTGTCAACAGCGTTGCATGGCCGATAAATGTAATAAATACATAACAAGTGAGTCAGTTCCGTTACTTACCATATTTGACCCAAGATCAACGGCGGCAGCTGCGACTGCAAAAAGAATCCTTTTGCCTGGGCTCCGGTCACAAAGCCGCCCTGCGGTTGCAGAGCTTTGAACTGCTCCTGGTACTTGAGCTTCTCACGCTGGGTAACAGCCCACGCATCCACTGCCGGATTCATTTTGTTGCCCTTTTTGCTGTGTGCCTCTATGTGGAGTGCGAGCTTCGCAAAATATTCTGCTTGCTACAAATGTGTAGGTGTACGTGTGTATGTTAGCTTTATGTTATCCCCACACGCTTTACGCCGTATATTTCTCGTAACCGACTCTGACTCCCCCACACCGACAACAACAACAAGCTTTCTCGCAGTTGTGTGTGTGTGTTTTGTTCTTGTTTAATGCGCTCTCTTCGGCCGCTGAGTACACATCAAATACATGTCATGCTCCTCTCCAATGTGCACACACACACACTCGCTCGCGCTGGCTTACGCTCTTTTTACTATTGAGTATCCGTTTTGCTCCCACCACCCCACAATTTTTCACAATGGATTTTTATGGTTTACCTAAAATGCAATTGCAAATTGTTAAAAAAACATCATCACTGGCTTTACTAACAGCAACAACTACAGCAGATAACAACAAATTAACACCTCGTCACATATGTAAATGTTTCAGTTGTATCGGAATTGTCGCTCGTATATTTGGTGGGCGTTTTGATTGCTCGAAAAATCCATCTTCACCGAGTGTTGGTATTGATTTCTTATTCAACTGTCTGCTGTAGCTGTATGCGCAATATGGTGCTCTTGCAAGTGCTTACTTTTCATTTGAACACTAAATTTTTTTAAGTTTTTGTTATTTTTAACTTCGTTTTGTCGTGCAAATTAATTGTTCACGAACCAAGCAAAACGAACTATCCCTCAGGTGAACGAACCAAAGGAATCACCATTGATCTAGTTTGTTCATTCAGTAGTTTAGGGCTACTGAAGACCGCTAGCACTAAAAAGTGGTTCCAGTTTTTACTTTTATATAAATGTGTAGCAATGGTTCGCGATTTAATAAAAAAAAAGCTCTACGCGTTCGCCATTTTATAGAGTTGAAAATAATAAAGGCGAAAATGTGACCCTGATATATAGCCACATGTGAAGTAAATATCGCCACATCCTCAATTAGGGTTGCCGCCAAAGCAAATAATAATCGATTCATTTTCGATAGCTCACATCTCCCACATTATCCAACGCAGCGTTCTTTTCTGTGCGAGCACGTGTGACGACTGGTAATATCCGCTAAAGCAACGGCGAATAAAATATGTAACAAAATGTCGGAAACTTCAGAAGATGAACAAGCACAATTGCAAACAAGCGAGGAAGAGCTAAGCGGTGAGGAAGAAGAAATTGAAGAGGACGCAGAAGCCGAGGAAGATGGCGCTGAAAATGCTGCAGAACAAGACACAAGTGACCCCGACGAAGCTGATGAAGCAGAAGAGGCTCCCAAAGACGACCAGCCGCTGACATGGAAAGATCTTGTAAATTTCTCAAAATACCCAAATCAATTTCATACCATAACAGAAACTTTCAAAATGTAGGGCCTGAATGACACGTTGTGCAAGGCGTGCGAGGAGCTGAAATGGAAGGCGCCCTCAAAAATTCAAAAAGAGGCGATACCTGTTGCACTGCAAGGCAAAGATGTCATTGGCCTGGCCGAAACCGGTTCGGGCAAAACGGGCGCCTTTGCTCTGCCCATTCTGCATGCTCTGCTCGAGAATCCGCAGCGCTACTTTGCCCTGGTGCTGACGCCCACACGTGAATTGGCTTTCCAAATAGGCGAACAGTTCGAGGCGCTCGGTGAGTGTACAGTTATAAATTTGCCTATATACAATGGCGGCCAAACATTTGGGGACACTTTAAATGCAAAGTGTTGCCAATTTAATTGCCCCCACTGTATATACATGTCCACAATGATGTGAAACCCTTTTTGATTTTATGTTCTTCAACGAAAATATGAAATTATTATTTCTTTATTCGTCACTACCTCTGAGTAAATTAGCTAAAAGAAAGATATGCAAGCCAGCGATTCGCCTTTTTCTAAAAAAATTCCCTTTCCCTTCTCCACAGGCAGCGGCATTGGCATCAAGTGCTGCGTGATAGTCGGCGGCATGGACATGGTGGCGCAAGGTTTGCAGCTGGCAAAGAAGCCGCACATTATCATTGCCACGCCCGGTCGTCTGGTGGATCATCTGGAGAACTTGAAGGGCTTCAATCTGAAGGCCATCAAATACCTGGTCATGGATGAGGCCGATCGCATACTCAACATGGACTTCGAGGTGGAGCTGGACAAGATCTTGAAGGTGTTGCCGCGCGAACGTCGCACGTTTCTGTTCAGCGCGACGATGACCAAGAAGGTAAAGAAGCTGCAGCGTGCCTCCCTCAAGGATCCCGTCAAGGTGGAGGTGTCCAACAAATATCAAACTGTGGATCAGCTGCAGCAGTATTATCTCTTCATACCAGTCAAATACAAAGACGTGTATCTCGTGCACATCCTCAACGAACTGGCGGGCAACAGCTTCATGATCTTCTGCAGCACCTGCAACAATACCGTGAAGACGGCGCTGATGCTGCGCGCCTTAGGACTCGCCGCCATACCGCTGCACGGCCAGATGTCCCAGAACAAGCGTCTGGCGGCTCTGAACAAATTCAAGGCAAAGAATCGCTCCATACTGATATCCACGGATGTGGCCTCGCGTGGCCTGGACATACCACACGTCGATGTCGTTGTCAATTTTGATATACCCACGCACAGCAAGGACTACATACATCGTGTGGGCCGCACAGCACGTGCCGGTCGCTCCGGTCAGGCCATCACCATGGTCACCCAGTACGACATTGAGCTGTATCAGCGCATCGAGCAGCTGCTGGGCAAACAGCTGCCGCTCTACAAGTGCGAGGAGGACGAGGTAATGGCGCTGCAGGAGCGCGTCGCCGAGGCGCAGCGCACCGCTAAGCTGGAACTCAAGGATCTGGAGGATAGCAAGGGCTACAAAGGCGGCAAGGGGGGCAAACGCGCTGCCGCCGACATCGATGATTCGGAGCAGTTTACGGGGGCGCGCAAACGCATGAAGCCCGTGGGGGGTAATAGGGGCAAGGGTGCGGGGGCTGGCCGTGGCGGAGGTGGCGGCGGGGCGAAAAAGAATTGGAGCCGGGGCAAAAAAAGAAACTAATCCTTAAGTTTATTTAGAAATGTATTTTAATAAAAAAAAAAATTGATATACACAGTTCAATTGTGTAAAATGCAAGAATACGAAATTTGTACGATATTGTTAAAATGAATATTTGTAAACGCTGCTCAACAGCAATAAACGATTAAGTCCAGAGTCCGAGAGGTCAATGTTTGCTGCAAAGAGAGAGGGGAGTATTTTAGTAGAAGCTAATAATAAATATATTTATATATAATATATTGATTAGTGTCGGAAGCGCATTCCTTAAAGGCAAACCCAATCTGGTCGAGCTTGGAGTTGGAATTTATTTTACCATTTAAAACCAACGACATTTTTCATGCTAATGCATATATTCAAGCTTTTATAGTAGATAATGTTTTTATAGTCTATATTATTACAGACAAACGACTGAAACCCGAATCAACTCGATTTCAATTACTACAAATCGAACAAAAGGCTCCAGGCATTGGATTTATTTGGTAGATGTTAATCTTAGACAGAAATCGAACTGAGTTCAATTAATCTAAAAGTTGAATTATTTCATTTCACCAAAAGCTGAGTTCAAGGATGTGTTAAACTGAAGTCACAAATCAAACCTAATAAACCAAAAGTTGAATTGTTTCATTAATATTTTGACTTAAATTTGACCAAAAACAGATATTAAGAAAGTGTTAAACCGGATTAACAAACTAAACCGTAAGGGAAGGAGTTGGAACCAAACTGATACTGATCAAACCGCGCAAAGGCAAGGAGAATTTCAAGGACTTCAACATTCGAGCAAACTTTTATTGACATAGGACCACCCTATAATATAGCTCATATATATAGCTAAATGTTATTTAAGGTATTTAAGCTTCGTCAATCCGATAATCGCTTCTGTTTATAGCTTACCCGTTGTCCTAAAAATCGCTCAAGTCGATATTATCCTCGAAGGTGTGTCGAAACGGATTCGTCAGATTGTAGGCCATCTTTTCGGCCTGCGGCAAGCTGACATAGCGATGCGGCAATTGTTGCTGTCGCGGCAACAGTTGCTCCCGCATCGCCGGCTGACCTGCATGCGCCTGCAGCTTTCCGGCAGTTTCGCTCCAGTTCTGCAAAATTTTAATAACCGAGCTCAAGGCCTCGTCGTTGCGATCGATGGGACTGAAGAGCACCAGCTCCCAGCATTTTTTAACGAGCACCGGATCATCCTTGCCGACAGCATCATGGGCCAAACAGGCCATAAATTCGACGGGTATGGGAAAGCTCTGATTGTAGAACAGATGATTCAGATTTGGTATATAGTTAAACCAATCGGCTGCGGCGAGTATTCGGAGCAGCTGCATGGTCAAATCCGGGTAGGCATGTCCAATATTTGGACGCCACAGATGCTTCATGAATTGCGCCGCCGCAAATGGAGGCGCCAGATCGTAGCGCAGCAGCAGATAATAAATATCCGTGATAAAGGGCGCACAATATGCCATGTAAAGGCTACAATCCTGAACCATTCGCAGCAGATGCCACCTCATGCCCCGATTGCCGAAGATCTCAGCGAATACGACGAAAAAGTTTCGGAAGAGCAGTCCATGACGCAACACCATGCTGTACGTGTCGCATAATTGGTCCAACTTCATCGACTGCAGGCGCCGCTGCACCTCCCACGGACCGCTGAGCGTGTGCTGGCAATTGATTTGGTCGCATTGGCCATCCAAGAAGCGCCAGCATTTGATGCCAAATATGAAATATTTGCACTCGTTTGTATAAATATTTGGAATGCCGGAGAGTGCGCTGTCCGGTTCAGGGGGCAAGCGAAAGGGTGGCGCAAAAATTGGACCAGAGTTGACGGTCGTTTCTGCAGCTGATCTTTGGCTGCCTCTGGCTGCAGGTAGGATTGGCCGTTGCTTGACTGGTTGTGGCCTCCGATGTTGCTGCTGCTGCTGGCTTCTTAAAATTAGATCCGGAGGCTGTTTCCCTTGCTGCCTTTCCGGCTGTCTATTTGCTTTCTTGGGTATGCGAAAATTAACCAACTCGCTGAGACGCGTCTTGGCGGAAGACACCGTAGAATCAACCTGAGCAACTGCCTTCAAGCTCTCTTCGGCTCTCGCTGGCTGTGCGGCGTCTTTTTCCTCCAGCGCAACTTTTGTATTTTCAGTTGGCTGCTTGGCAGAATTTGTATAGCCAAAGGGCTCATCTTCGCCGTCCCAGGATGTGGTCACTGATATGGCATCATTATCGTCATCATCATCATCATCGTCATCATAATTGAGCACATTGTTCATAGCCGTGTCCATTTCGAGTGGCGTTTTCTCAACTATTGTCGACAAATTGGGCAAATTATCAAAGAAATCCGATGTATCAGCTATTTGATGATCAATCTCACTTGGCGTTTTATCATTAAAGATCTGTAAACAGCGATCGATTTCCGCAACGCCACATTTGCCATCGTCGGCCAATAGCTGGCCGAGATCCGTGGGTGCGGCAAGTGGAGCGCTCAGCTGCATAGCCTCATTGATGAGCATATCCTCCAGCTCACATTCGGCTTTGGAATCATTCTCAAGGGGTTTCGCAAGGGACTCCTTGGAGAAGTCTTTTGTCTGGCTTAAATTCAATTTGTGCTCGTCTTGAGTTTCTGGCACAGCTTCAAGTTGATTTCCGCCCTTGGGTAAGCAGAGATTTTCTGGCTCATTTGATTGCGAATTCGTGTCAGCAGCGGAATTGGGTGAATCAGAAGTCGGCGTTAAGTCGATTGCTTTTTGTGAAATGTGCGCAATTTGAGCGTTCATCTGCGGTAACAAAAGAAATTGATTATTATGTGGCAAGTACTCGAGGGTAGCGCAAACTAAGATTACAGCATTTGATTGACGCTTCGATCTGCTGCATCTTCTAATCGCATTCAGTTGCTGTTGCCGTTGTTGTTCTTGATTTGCTTGGTTGGAGCATTGTAAGCGCGTGCGTATTCGACGTGGCGTGGACTCCTGCTCCAACTCAGCGACTTGCTCTGGGCTTGCATTTTTCGCTTGCTTTCTGTTCGACTGATTGGCTAGTTTATTTTGCATGGCCGGACTTCCGTTTTTGTTGCTTTTCTAAAGGGCATACAAACAAGTTCTTAGGTTTTTATTCAACAAATTTGTCAGTCATGTCACATACCTTGGGCTGCGACGACACAATATCCAGCTCAGAATCGGTCTGATGTTCCTCTTGATCTGTCCTTTGCCTACGTCGATTCTCCTCTTGTTCAGCAATATTTAGCTGTTCCTTTTGAAGTTGCTGCTTTTGAATTCTTTGCTCCAACTGCTCCTTTTCTGCTTTCTGCTTCTCAATCTCCTGCTCCAGCTCAGTTAGTAGCTCTTGGTGTACTTTTTGCCTTCTAATCTCTAGCATTAATTGATCTTGTTGCGGCTTCTGCTGCTCACTCTCTTGGTCTAGCTGATCCAGCAGCTCTTTTTGATCTTTCTGCTTTCCATTCTGTTTTAATGGATTCGGAAGCTTCTCATTCTCCTGCTGCAGCTGCTCCTGTTGAGCTTTTTGGTTGCCAATCTCTTCTTCCAGCTCATCCATCAGCTGCTGGTATACTTTTTTCTTCTTAATCTGTATCATTTGTTGAATCTGCTGCACCTGCGGTGCTTCGTGCTGGCCATTATCTTCTTCCCACTGCTCTTTTGGCAAATTCTGTTTTATATTTCTTTGCTTCTGTTCCTGAAACTCATGATCCGGCTCACTTAGCGGATCTTGCTGAATTTCTTGCTCCCAAATCTCTGATTCTGGTAGCTCCAGCTCCTCCAATAGAGTTTCCTGCTGCTCCATGTCTTCATATACGTGAACAAGCTGCTTTTCTTGATTTGTATGCAACATAATCTTTTCCTGCTTCTGTTGCTCAACTTGTTGCTCCAGCCCATTTATGTGGTAAATTTTTTGTTTCTTAAACCTAAGAATTAGTTTATTCTTTTGCTGGTTCGGCAGATTTTGCTGACCAATTTCTTGCTCCAGCTCATACAGCAACTCATGCTGAATTTTTTGCTTCTTAATCTTAAGAATTAATCGATCTTGAGCTTTCGGTTGTTCAATTTCTTGCTGCCGCTGATCTTGTTGAGCTTCCTGCTCTACATTCTCTACATCTATCTCCTCCTCTTGAGCTTCCAGCTGTTCAATCTCTATACCCGTCTCCTCATGCTGATTTTGATGCTGTTCACGCTTTTCGTGTAGCTTAGCTAGCTCCTCAGCTTGAACTTGCTCCTTACCCGGTTGGCATTCCAACGATGCATCCTGGAAAAGCGATGGACGACCGCGGTTGATACCAAATTTTTCCCCTACCACATTAGCCTGGACATCGATAGCACTTTTTCTCAAATGATTGTTTGTCAATTTTGGAGCAAGCGCATTCCGGCTTAGCATCTGTTCATCAGTTTCCTTTCCCTTTGGAATACGATCTTTACTTGCTGCTGTGGCAACTGTTTTCCGGGTCTGCGTCTTGGCTTTAGTTGCCTTTGATTCTTTCGACAACAAGATATTTGTCTCCGATTTAATGCGCTTCCGCCATAAAGCCAGTGGCTCCGTTTCGTCATAATTATGGACCAACGCATGCTCAGCTTTCGGTTTAGATTTACGTTTCGCTGAAGTCGATTTTGGCGGCTGCTGTTGCTGATTCACAAATGCCGGATCGTTTAGCAGATGATCGATCTATGTGTAAGAGAAGAAACTTGAATGTAAATGATAGATTTAACACCCCGATTGTACATTTATTTACACTTTCAATGCGTATATATGGATCTGTGGGAGACTGCATGCATTTCCAGAACTCTTCGTAGTTTTCCTGCCATTCCTCCGCCGTATATTTCTCTATGCCCGTCTGTTGGACTATTTGCGCCCACATCCGTAAAATATCACGGCGACGCATCTTTAATTTTCAAATTCTATCCACAGTTTTTCAAGTTATACCGAAACGATTCCACGTGAAAATGTTAACGACAAAGTGCGCCAGTATTTGCTTTAATGTCTCGCGCTTTGACAAGTGCCGTTATGTCGGGGCTGCACAAATGGTGGCCAGTGATACTTTTGCAAATTGTCGATAGGTAATGAGTATTTTTTGCGAATTTCCTATCGATACCAGACAATGTATCTAAATACTCAACTGGAGCGCTTTTTCTTATGGTTTGATCTTTAATCAATTGGGATTCTGAAATCCCTTGAGCTTTATTACATCAGTAAACATTTTTGCTGACCTTAGGCAATTTATGGCACATTAAAGCTTGTATCGATAAGTGCCATCGACTTGAATTTGCTGTCACTTATCATAAAAGTAGCGCGCCTTTTGTTAAGTTTTTTGGATAATTGCGCCCAAATCTGTTTCCTTATCTTCTTCACATAAAAGCACTTGTATATATTTAAAAAGTGCGTCAATTTCTTATGCATACGAATGTGTATATGTACATGTATACGCATCGACGTATTTTATTGGCCCAAAAGTACATTACAATTAATCTAATTTAAAATGTCTACATTATAAAACAATATTAAAGGTCAAAATTTTACTAATCTTAAATATTTGCACAACGCACTCGGCCAATTACAATCGCGAATTGCCTAACACTGTACATCAAATAGCTCGCAGATGCCTTCGTCATTTTTCAGTACGAAATTAAAGTCTTCTCGTGGTGGATTCAGTTGCACTAGCGGCGGATTTTCTAAAATGATAAAGGACAAAAACCATTTTAGGATCATACAAGCAGATAAATTGATATTGAACATACCTAAATGTGGATCATCGGGATAGAAGCGCCTCAGTGAGTGGCCAGACATATAATTTTGAAAGATTACTTTCGCCGTCAGCTCAGTTTCGAGTGCCTTCATCTCTTCCTTCATCTCGGGATTACAAGAGTACGTATGCTCATCCTTGATTACGTTGCCTGTGCCGGCACCTGCGTCGCTGGAATGCGACGGCGACGATGATGGCGATGGTGTGTCCAAATACCGATCATCGAACGGCCCATCAGCATCATTTGGATTTGTCGTACCCTTGCCCTGGTTGGTTACCAAGCGTATATCGATCGTGCTGCCATTATCCAATGAAACACGTAACTCATGCTGCAAAAATGGTTAACAACAAATAATGAGCTAGGATATAGGCCATAAATTTGGGTCTACCTACATCACTGCGCTGAATTTCGACCTCCTCGTCATAATTGGGTATGGTAAAAACGGAATCATCGCCGTAGATTTTCAGTAGGTCATCCCGTGTTACATACGCGTACGATTGATTGGTTGGATCCTGCATTATATAGTGCAAATTACGCTGCGCATACTCCAATTGCCTGTCCAAATCCTCCTCAATTGTTTTCAAATGATTCGTCCTTTCGCAGGCAATATCGTATTCCTTGCGGTCCTTGGCATTGTTGAAACCTCCGCCGCTAAGTAGAAAATACAAACATAGATTATTAATTTTTATATATATATAACATTTAAATTTGCATTCTATCGATCTATATAGTATTTCATGACTTTACTCCGATGGATGGAAAAGGTTGATTAGTTTTAATCGAGAGAGAATTCCGAGGGAGTCTCTCTACAAGTGAACATTGTCTCTAAAGGCTCAGGTGCAGGAACACACAAAGCCGTGAAAGGAATTTTGGTTAAGTAAATAATAAGCATATTATGACAGAATAGCGTTCCGCTCAATGTTGGCATAATCCTTACCGCCAACGCACTAGCGAACAGTGTCTGCCCTTATCAATCAGTCCAATGCCCTCCAGGACGTTGGTGATATCATAGATACGACGTTTCTGTACGTCCAAGATTTTAGTGGCCTGCAAGAATATATATTTGTGAGTGAATTCGAAATTTTGAAGATGCATACGAGTGTTACCTCTTTCAGATCAATCGTGCCACCATTCTGTTTCATCAGTTCAACGAATTTTTGGGTCAACAACACCAGCGAACCCACCGAGCGCTGCTGTTGACTGTGGGGCTGTGGTGTTTGTGATGTTTGTGATGTTTGCGTTGATTGTTGTTGCTGCTGCTGTATTTGTATTTTGGGTTTTTGTGGTTCCGTCGGTAGGTCTATGTGGAAAGTGCCATAGGTTTTGGATTCCGACTCGGCCTCATGGACACTAGCAGAGTCATCAATATCGGGGCTGCTGCTGCTGGCAGTGATCCGCTGCCTTGGTACTACACCACCAGATTTACGCTTGTACATGGCGCGCACTTAAATAAAAGTCTCTGTTCGATGTTGAATGGCTAATTTGTTGGCCTTATTGAATTGCTGCGTGTTTAAACGATGAAAATATTCACGTATTTTTAATATAAATCTCAATTAAATACAAATGTTGGCGCTTGAGCACAATTCCGCCATTTATGTCACTTTTTTTCATTCTCCCAGCACTGCGCACCAAGGTTGTACTTTGCCAACTTATCGATTAGCCACCACAATTAATCTAACAAAAAGGTTGGCGCAATTAACTAATGACGCCCTTATGCAACAAAAACATTCAGTTAACTTGTTACAAATCTTAATTAAGGACAAAATTTATATATTTAAGCACAATACTCTTATTCAAATCACAGTTTTATCTGTTTACATTGTCGACAAGATTGCAGCTGTACCAATTTATCGAAATACCAAATAGGTTTATCGAACAATTAAACATGCTTATTTATATTCTTTTATTTTACCCATATTTTAGAGTTTACCCGTAACTTTTATATTATTTTCTTGCAAAGTGCTTAGAATATTAGCTTTGGCGATGCACTTATCGTCCTGGTTAACCACGTTTTTAATAAGCACCATGTGAGTGTGTGAGGGGCGCGCTTTTACAGCTGCTTTAATTGCGTGTCACGCAGATATTCATTTTTTCCCCATGCAACTTGTCTTGAAATAACATATTTGTGGCCCATATTAACCCTTCTAATAATTCAATTATAGTTCAGCACTCAATATTACTATATATTTTAATCACATTTGCTGTCTACATTCCTGTCTTTTTTTTTTTATTCATGTTCAATGATAATGCGAGAAAGTGCACTTTTAGTTTGTGGCTCTGAGACGTGTTGCAGTAAACACGTGTAGCTTTTACACTATAAAATTATATTTAAATTGTTATTATTATCACCTTAACAACCGATATTTGGATTTATTTCTACGGCATGCATCTCCAATCACTATTTTAAACGAGTCATGCGCGCCCACATGGCATCGCAGCATTCGTATTTTGCAACACTGTTGATCTGTTGCCCACCACTACTTTTGATTTTGTTTTGCTCACACATTCTATTGGGGAAACAACGTGCCTGTAGATTTTTTTTCGAATTAAATAAAAAAGATTGTAAAACCATAAAATGCCTTCGAAAGTGAAGCCAAGACTTTCGCGCGGCGTGCTGGACATGAAATTCATGCAACGCACCAAAGCCAAAGTGGCAAAGGAAGACGATGACGAGCAGAGCCGCGCACTGTACTCCAATGAACTAAACCAAAAGATGCTCAATAGTAATTCGAATTTTATAATCGAGCCAAGCTATAGCATATGCGCCGGACTTATCGATGGTCGACTTAGTTTTCGTGGCATGAATCCGGAATTAGAGCGTTTGATGGAGCTGGAGCTGGCCGAAAAGCAGGGCAGAACCAGACCCGATCAGCCCAAAGAAGTCACAGACCAGGAGATGGCCGAAACCTACTATGCGAATCAAGCACCGGCCGCAAGCAAAACGATGAGCAAAAAATTCGCAACGAAAAACGAGTTTAACAAGCGCAAATCCAACGGCAATCCAAAATGGCAAAAAAAGCCGGAATTCAAAAAGCCGCGCCAGGACGAGGACGACGAGGATTCATAGACTATCATATTCTTTATAAGATATGACATAGGTGCTTAGATTTTAAATATATATCGTACAATAAATTTGCTCAGCTGCTTTCGGTTGGCACTTGCTTAACGGCCTGCAGCGCATAACACAATTGTGTGGAGTTTATCCAGCGCCAAGTGTTGCGCCAAAAATCGTATGTGCTGCCATTGACGAGAACGGTCTGACAATTCACTGCAAGAAAAAGGGTTAAGGTTTTACTATAGCCATTCAATCTATTGTACTTACTTGTGTCCAATATGCGCTGCACGTCTAGTGGCCCAATCATTTTGTCCCAATGATGTGTTCCCTTTGGAGCTATATTCAGCACATACTCGCCCAGCACAACGCCGCCGAGCCACATGGGCAAGGTTTTATTCATGGTGGTTATGAAAATGGAGCCGCCCGGCTTGAGCGTCTGTACGCAAGAGCTCAGCAACGCCACCTTATCGTCTACATGCTCCAGGACTTCAGAAAGTATCAGCACATCATAGCGCTCGCAATTTCCTTTGGCATGCTGATCAATTGGTTCCATTTTATACTCGACTCTATCGCAGAGCTCGGGGCTGCAATTAGCCAAATGTGCGCGTGCAGCCTTAATCAGCTCTTCGCCGAGATCTATGCCGGTTACGTGAGCGCCCAAGCGAGCCAACTGCTCGGTCAGCAGACCGGCACCACAGCCAACATCCAAGATACGTTGTCCACTTAAGACTTTTGTTGTGTTTATGTAATGTGACTTCACATTGCCGCGCGCCACAATTCCATCGCGTATTAATGGTACCCTAATAACAGAAATTGTTGTAGTTAGCTAATTGCTTGTGTGTTTACTGGTATATTTGCCTGATTTCGTTCATGGCATGCAGCGCTGCCATTGGACCATTCTTATTCCACCAATCTGCGGCCAAATTATCATGATGCTTAACCTCGCGCACCGTTTCCGCGGTCTGTTGCTTAAAGCCGCCGGTTGCAGTCGCATCCAAGCTGCTGTTTCTTGTTAGCGCGCTAAGCAGTGATTGACTTAATCGACTGTTAAGATTTAATAATTAGTTGCAATTAATGTTAGTGTGTTCGACATACTTGCTGCGTTTAAGAAAGGTCAAGTTTCGCAACATTGTAAATGCGTAAATTGTAAAATCAGCTGTTGTTGTTTATTATATTTTAGGCTTAGAAATGGGAAAATGTTGTCAATAAATCGATAGCAATTGTATCGATAGTACCTGTGGAACTCGCTTGACGATTAAAAACAGCTAAAAAATATTTAAGCAGAACAGTATAAATAAAAAGCGAAGTGTCGATTCGTGGCAGGTTGAATAAGGATTATTTTATTAACTCTATTCAAATAAAGTAATATTGGACTTTCAAGAGCAGGCAGATGTAAGCTTGGGAAGTACATATTGCCTGCTTAATTTAAACCCTCAAAACGGCTAGATTTGAGGAGAAATAAAATAAAACGGCAACGCTATTGCCGCTAAAGCTTTTGCGGGTTAATCGATAAGTATCGGGTTAGAAACAGTTATTTGACAATCGTCACCATTTTAGTATTGCTTTAGCGATAATGATATGACAAAGAAATAAAGAGCACGCGTCAACCAAAGATATATATTAAAAATAGTTAACTGTGTAAAATGTACAAAGAACAACCGTTGCTCAATCATGCGGACGCCGAAAATGCCTCGGACAGAAATGTGCAAAGAGGAAACGTGCATGCACTGCAAATGTTCCTTTTAACCACATTTCTGTTGCTTTTTCTAGCCGGCTCGATGTTTCATCCCAAGCCACTGATGCTCAGATCTCCGGTACATCAGCGTGACGATAAGAAATACGATTGCAATATAACGCTGGTTGAGTCAATACCCATTGGCCTGAACTTTACACCCAACAGCCCAAAGTTCATGAGCACATTTGAGGCCTGGCAGCGACTGCTGGACACTAGCAAATCCTCGCTAGACATTGGATCCTACTACTGGTCGCTGCGTGGCGAGGACACGGGCTCGAATGAGAGCAGCGCTCAGCCTGGAGAGCTGATTTTCCAGCGTCTGCTGAACAATGCCATTGCCACATCTAAGATCAAAATACGTATTGCACAAAGCGAACCCTCGAGCGTTTCACCAAATTTGGACACACAATTACTGGCCAGTTATGGTGCCGCCGAGGTGGTATCCCTGGATTTTCCCAAGTACCTGGGCGGCGGCATACTGCACACAAAACTCTGGATTGTGGACGGAGAGCACTTTTATTTGGGCAGTGCCAACATGGACTGGCGTGCGCTGACCCAAGTCAAGGAGCTCGGCGTCTTGGCTCAAAATTGTCCGCAATTAACCAGCGATTTGGCAAAGATCTTCAAGGCATACTGGTATCTGGGCAGTAATACCGACGCACGCATACCATCTTCCTGGCCCTTCGATTACGGAACCAACTACAATAAGGACCAGCCCATGTGGCTAAGAGTGAACAAGACGTACACAATGCAGGCCTTTGCAGCCAGTTCACCTCCCCCACTCTCGGCCTCAGGACGCACCCATGATCTGGATGCCATATTAACGACGATAAATGGTGCTCTAAAATTCGTGCATATTGCTGTCATGGATTACTATCCATTGATTGTCTTTGGACCCAAGGTCCAGTACTGGCCGGCCATTGACAATGCGCTGCGCACCGCGGCTGTGGAGCGCGGCGTGGCTGTTAAACTGCTCATTTCCTGGTGGAAGCATTCGGATGCCAGCCAGGATAACTATTTGCGCTCGCTGCAGGATCTGACCATGGCCCACCCGCATGTGGATATACAAATTGTGAGCGCCTAGCTTACAGATAACATTGTCTTCCAAACTAATTTTCTTTTGTTTTGCAGCGCCGTTTTATTGTGCCCGCAGATGAGGATCAAAAGCGCATACCCTATGGTCGCGTCAATCACAACAAGTACATGGTCACTGACAGAGTCGCGTATATAGGCACCTCCAATTGGTCTGGGGATTATTTCACAGACACTGCCGGCATTGGCCTGGTCCTAAAGGACACAGAGCCCGGCTTAACAGGCACCATACGCAACCAATTGCAGAGTGTCTTCGCGCGGGATTGGAACAGCACATATGCCAGCTCATTCACCTAAGCAATGCCTAGCACTTGTACTATTTTTTTTAACTGGCAAGCTTATTAATCAGCGCATTATCTGACGTCATTTTATTTCATAGCTTTTTACCACATTTTGATAACAGTATTTTTATGCTTCATATTTCACATCCTACACTGTTGTAAACAAAGTACTGCGCTATTTTGTTATCTAAATATATAAACTGTTTCCTCTGGAATGTTTGATTGAATTACTGAATGTCCAACGCGCAAGCTGAGCTGTAAAGAATTTAAGAATTTAATTTAAGACGCCATTCTGGGAAATACGCCTGTGCGGGAAAGCCACAAAATAAGTTTTATGGAACTTTTGTTTAAATACCCTTCGGATAATCCACGCTTTCTTCCTACAAATGTGGAAAATTGGCGGAATTAAATAGAAATTAAATGTTATGCAAAAAACATGGTCCGCGCAAAGCCGGGTACTGTTTTGGTATGACTAACTGATAGGAAAGATGATAACAGAAATCTAAGAAAAAAAAACACTTGGCTCGATTAAGCCCGGATAATATTAGCTATATATATATATATGTATATAATTCAAATACTCTTTCACGCTTGTCATAACTTTAACATAGTGCATAGTTGCCGCATTCCATGTTCAAATTCATGGACTGTGCTTTGAGATTATCCACATTTTTATTTCACATTATTGCCGCCGCGTCGCAGAAAATTGTTGCTGGCAATGCACTTTTCGATGATCACATTGATATCAGCCACGCAGCTCATGAGGCAGTCGTAGATCAGCAGTAAACAGCGCGCATCAATAGCTGCAAATAGGGGCAAGAATTAAGAAAGTAAGATATGAAAGGTATATATAATATAGAGCCCTGCATGGGTTAATTTAATTGCATCAAAGTCCGATACTCATTAGAGTAGCTCGAGTCGAGAAAGTTGGAGCATTGACTCGCTCGAACGAAATAGCTGGAGAATCCGAAATGGGTTTCGATTTACTCGATGCAGGGCTCTTAATAAAATACTTTAAACATTTCAGCCCACCTGCATAGAGTATCTGTTCGCGTCGCAGTGGCCGATTTGCCCAGTTGGAGCACTGATTGGCCTTGTTCAGCTTTTTGCCCAGGCACAGCATGGACAAGTCGGTGAGTGCATCGCCGGCGCGATTCACATTGCCGAAGGGCAGCTCAACGCCATGCCGTTTCTTCAGCTCCAGCCAAACGTTGCGCAGATCCAGATAATGATGCGGCATATGCAGGCGCAGCTGGAGCGGCAGCGAACGCTGCAGCACCGACAAATCGTTGAGCATGGAGAAGCCCACCTTGAGAATGTTTGGATTGTTGAACACGTTGGCGCCGAGGGCACGCCAGTGCTCCTCGTGCAGCGCCTGGCGGCTGGCCAGGCAATCGATTAGGTAGACATTGTGTGTGGTCGCTATTTGGAGCAAACAGAGCTGATTCTGTACGCACACATTCTGCATCCATTCAGAGTCCATGTAGATGATTTGTTCGCGCTGCAAATGCTGCAGCATGCGTTCGAATGTGGACGCCGTGTCCACAATCAGGAGGCACTCGTCCGGCAGATCCATGCCCAGGTACACTTCACAGGCCGTTGTCGTCGGCTCTGCTGCACGGCACGGCGGCTCCACCTTTTGTGAGATTAGCGGTTTGATTTCCGGCGGACAATCCTCGTGGCGCAGCTTAAATTCATTGTACCAGTATATGGCCTCCGATTCTAGTGGCCCATTCACTGCAGCCGCCGCCACATAGCTGACAAAATCCACGCGCAGAGCATGGTCGTAGGCATGCAGGCGCACCAGTTCCCTGAAGCTGGCCATATTGATGCGCGACTTCTCGTACTCGCGGTACAGGTAATGTAGGTAGCTGCAGGTCTTTGTGAATTTGTAGTTGGGCGTTATGGTGTCATCGAAGCCATATTTTTTGGCCAGCCGGGCCACAATCTTTGAGACCGGGCGATAGCTGAGCACATGATGCGATACCTTCAGATTTTTGTAGCGACTGCAAGAGATTATTAGTATTAGAATCAAGTATAGGATAGATCAAGCCCCAAGCCAAGATGTACCTGAGTGTATTCTCGCACATCTCTATGACGGACTTGTCCTTGTGCAAGAGCGAATCGAGAAATTTAACAAACGGCAGACGCTGATGCGTCGCCTGATCCAGGTACTCTTCGGCCAGCGGCAGCTTCTCCTGCGCAATCAATGGGAATGCCAATTCCAGCATATCGAACTGATGCGTCAGCTGCAAATTGAGTGTCCACTGTGCTACCTCCTTGTAGTAGCCATTGTCGAGCATCTCGCGCAGCTTGGGCACCAGCAGTTCACGGATCTGTTGTATGCGATATGCCTGAACCATGGCATTGTTGAGCGACGTCAGGCCCGTCGTCTTCACAAAATGAAAGGCAATCATGCTGGTATTATCATCACAATGCTCGCTCAGATGCGGCAAATCCGCCTGGAGCTTGCACACTGTGTCCAGCACAAAGTGCGAGAGGCTTTTGTTCTTCACATTGCTGCTGTCTGGGCAATTGGCAAAGATTTTGAGTGCCATCAGCATGGGATTCGGATGACGCATTAGCGCATTGATCAGATCCTGCCGCATATACGGCGACGATTTGCATTTGCTGTGCATGTTCCATTTCTCGCGAAATACATTGAAGAACTTTTGAAATTCCGTGTCCAAGGTGGCGTCAAAGTCGCCATTGATGCCCGCACCTAAGTGGAAAGTTGTATATTTATATTTATATTTACACAAATCCATGTGGAGTTTCCAAGCCCTTAATAACACTACTTCATACCCGTTGTAATGTCCTCGAGTCGTTTGATTTTCAAATGTGCCAACATGCATTCCAGCTCTTCGTCATCGGACTCCATGCCAGCCGGCATTGCGTTAAATCTATTAGCCATAATTTATTTCCTTTTTTATTTGTGGGCGCGCAGCCCCACACACAATGCACTTGCAAAATTGATAACCAAAATTCGTTCGCGGTGTAAAAACATATGTTTTTAACGCATTAAAGATCTTAACATAATGGTGAACTGTTAATAACAGTGGGCGCTCAGGAACTGCGCTGCAGTCCGCTTTACCAAAAGTTCAAACAATTGATTTGGTTTTACCAATTTTTTTTTTTAAATAGCCTGTATAGTGAGTGAAAGACTGTTGTCAAAACCATTTACTTAGTTTTGACAAGAATTGCCAAGCTGGCCTAATTTTGAATTTAACAGGCTGTTACCTTACAGAACCGTTTAACATTATCAATTATAGGCATTAAGCAATTTGGTATCGATTCTTTGTTGGATAGTGAAGCGCAAAATTAACTCGATAGATATGTCGATAGTATTTAGATATCGATAATTAGTGAACTACAGCTTGCGGTGGTTGACGCGGTAGATTTAAATTTAAATTAATTACAAAGCTTAATAAATATATTAAAGCTTTTTTTAATTGACATGCATTTGCATCAATGAACATATATGATTAATACTTTTAAGCTAAGCTAGGAGCTATTAGGTAAACTTAATTGTTTACACTATTAATGAATGCAATTTGACAGTTGTCACAATATTCGAGAATATTTAGGTTTACGTTTATTACCATGAATTCATTTAACAAGTTTAAGTGCTGTTCTTTAAGTCATTAATTGCGATTCAATGGACTAAGCCCTTTAAGTCCGTTAAATGATCTAATTAATTTCAAAATAATTATTATACGTGTGTTTAAGCCGTTATATAAACTTGATATTGTGACAAATGGAAGGCGTCATCAATTACAGCTAAAGTTCCAGTTATAGACAAGACGTGGTAGCTGGCAGCACGTGTAGAGTCGCAAACTGGCCAGTCAAGATTTATGGCCAACAGCCAGTGGGTTTTCAAGTGCCAACATGTTTAGAATTAGCATGCGGCAATATCAAGCTGAACACAAAAGGCATAATTTTTCTATATTAAATAAGTGCAAGTGCTGGCTATCAAGGTCAACTGGCCCTGCTCCAGTTCAGCACATGTAACTCTCGATTTTAACTACAGAGTGTTAAGTGTTACGTTGGCAACCAGACGGGTTGGGCAATCGTGGGAGGTCGAGGCTGTGCTCGAGTCTGTGGTTAACACCGCTGTATCAGCAATCGGTTGATCTATATATATATGTCTATATGTCCAAATGATTAATTGCACTGATGTAATCTAAGGAGAGTTTTTCTTAAAGTAAGATCGGTTTACTTTTGCCCTGTATCCACTGACAATTGATACAAGAATTAATTTAAATATATTATAGGTAGCCTGCGCTATATCTTTTTCCGTTAGGTATATGTATATATAAATATATTCTAGATCAGCATCAATCCCATCGAGAGTCACCAATTTTGGATAGTAGATTTTTATATGTCTTTTACAGATCAAACTTTACTTAAATTTGTCGATTATTATGGCAGAGCAGAGAAAAAATAAAGCTATCGATAAATATCGATTTCTAGCTGTAGTTTTTTGAGTATATTACGGCGAATATACAAGCTGGCGACCTGGGAAATTGAATAGAGGTAAAAATATAACATTTTCATTAGCACTTCTTTCTTTAAGGGCCTGAAACAGAAAACGGTTTTTTTTCCAGCGATCTTTTGTTTTGCAACTTTAAATAAAGCAAAAAAGCCGCTCTAAAACTGTTTGAGAATTATAAGCGCAGGCCTTTTAAAAATTACCTATTCAGAGTTAAACGATTAATTTTGATTTTAAGAATATTTATTATGACAGTGGGTGCATGTTTAGGATTTCATTTGGTTAACAGATCGTAAAGAATAGAAGTACATAAAGTAGACCAGAATAAGTAGAGTAGGAGAAGAGCTGGCAAAAGGCAGCTGCTGATTAGAGGCGAAGAGTGACTTAGATAGCAGTAAGATGTGTGTAGGAGGAAAACCTTTCGGGAAATAAACAAAATAAACGAAGAACTAAAAACGAATCGATGGCAAGGTCAAAGGCAGGTCTGCTGTTGCAATTGTAATCCCAGAGTGTGATCTCTTTCGGCGCTTTACCAAGTGCCCGGTGCGGGCTCCAGGTTGACGGAGGCGGCGCTCTGGACATGTCCGGGCAGTGGGGCGACATGCACGGCACCGCGCGTCTTGGCCACATACGAGGCGGGCGCAGCGGCAACGGCGACCACGGCGGGCGCCGGAGCAGCCACCACAACTGGAGCAGCATGGGCAATCGCATGGGCCGGCGACTGCACCAGAATGGGTCCAGCCGGGGCAATGGCAATGGGCACAGCGGAGGCGTGCACGGCCACGGAGCCGGCCGGAGCACCCAGGATCACGGCGGAGCCATGGGCAGAGGTCAGCAGCGGCACCACCGAGCAGTTGACACCCCAGGCCAGAGCGAACAAGACTACGACAACGGCGAACTGCAAAATTCGGATTCGGATTAGATGTCAGCTCCTGTTGACCCCCAAAAAAAATACAAACGCCTGCTCACCTTCATGTTGGCTTCTGTGATCGGCGCGACGCTTGGAACGTAACTAATTGACAGCTGCCCGTGGCTGTTGGGCTTTTATAGCGTCCATTCTGATCCGATCAGGCCAAAAGCCAGTTCTCGGACAATGCTTGCAGCTAATGCGGAAACTGGCCGGCTAAGCTCTGAAACACCCCTCCCCCTTGACCTTCAATTGCCAGCCCCCAACAGCTTGGAGCCACAATTGGCCACAGAGCGGTTGACAAGCTACAAGATAAACGCCAGCCAGCAGCGCCAAGAGACAACCGTCAAAGCAGCCCATTTGATTCGGTCAATCAATTCGCCTATCAATCGAACCACATACATAGCTATAGTACAATAACGAGTACAGACGCAGTAGTTGTGGCTGATCGACTAGCAGATACCCTGTGCCCTGTACCCTGTGAAATGAAACGAGAAGAAGCATGTTTCATGGTGGCTGTCTATCTATTATTGATTATATTATTGATATCGATTTAAATTTGAGAAGTTATCGATATATTTCAAAACAAATTAGATTTACAAATGATATATCGATTTTGAATGGTTGAACATTTAACAAACCGATATAAAGTCGATATTTATCGATTTTGGTGAGACGTTATTTTGATGCCTATTTAAATTGTCTCTAGCTCATTTATTCAGAGGCTTAAATGAATATATTATAATTACAGGAAGACCGATCGGAGTTATCGAAAATTTCAAATAAACTTGATCTGCTATTATACGAGTTTCTCTTCCTAATTTGGTACATTTACCTCGCACAATCTCTGACATCGGATAGATAATTTTGATGTTACATACATTGCAACAAAACTATAATACCTTACATCACCTATTTTAAATGGGTATAACAATAACAGCAACAAATCAATACAATTGTTATAGTTGGCCACTTGGTATTTTATACTGGATATAGTTCATATTTCATCAGCATTTTGTCAAAGTGTTTGCTCTGAAATTAAAATCGCCGACTAAAAGCATTAGTTATATTGCCATATAAATACCTTTTTATATAGCTAATAATAACTTACAATATATCTTAAGATTGTGGTTCGATTGCGTTTGAAAAAGCTGCTTAAGAGGAAACAACTTTTAAGAGACTTCGGCGTACTTAAGTTGAATACTTGGTCTGTAAACATAATATAATAAATATTCTTGATTAATTAATTGTTAAAACTTAAAACTTTATTATTAAGAATATTTAAATATCTTACGATTGTTCCTTAAATCGATAAATATCGATACCAAAGTTTAATTTTGTAACTTCTCTCCGTTAAGAACCTATCAAAAGTCTATTTAAACAATCTTCTGACAAAGAAATCTTTTTGTATAGAAAACATGGTCATCTTTTAAAAATGTGTCAAACTAAATCTTCTGTTTACAGTAGAAGCAATACACACATACACACACAATTAAATATCACTCCTTAAATACATATATATGTCTATATAGTTACATATTTATCTTAGACACTGTGTACACTTTGCGAGGAGGCGTAGATTAGTGCCAAGTGGCAAATGACATGGCTCGTCTGGTCTTTACAGAGAAGGAACAAAATTCCTACGATCCCAGGAAGTATAAGGTAAGAGTTCCGGAAATATTCAAGAACTATAAGGAAGGGATTAACCTATTCTCTATCTACCGATTCCAGGTAGTCCACAAGAATCACTGGCGTCAGGTGAGTCTGCGTTTGGCGCCCACGCAGAAAAAATGGTGGGAGGATCCAGATGTAATTGTTGCGTGAGTATTCACCATATAATAATAAAAAATCGGTTGGGCATAATCTGTGGGGTTTAGGGGATAAAGTGCCAATCGGAATAGGGAAGGGTTTCTACTATGCTTTGTGGCGTATTAAAACTCAATGGACTGATTGACTGACTGACTGACTGATTCATGATCAATGCATAGCCCAAAGAGACGGGGTTATTTAAATCTTCAATCGTTTTTTGGTCAACCACTTTTTTTAACCCATCGATTTTTAAAATGTTTTAATGCAGATTGATAGTAGGGATCCCTACGAATTCAAAAAGGTATAACATTTCAAAATCGGACAGCATTTACCCGAGATATTCAATAAAAATCTTCAAAAAAGTTTCGATTTTCGAACCGACCCCGAATTCGAGAAAAAACGTGATGTCATTTTGATGATTTTGGTCAAAAATTAGATTTTTATTTTTTTGATGCCAATCGATAGTACTGATCCTTACGAGTCGAAAATGGTATAAAATTCTCAAATCGAACACTATTTGGCCGAGATATTCTAAAAAAATCATCAAAAAAGGTTGGCTTTACAAACGAATCGGTTTTTGGTCAACCACTTTTTTTAACCCATCGATTTTTAAAACGTTTGAATGCAGATTGATAGTAGGTATCCCTACGAATTCAAAAAGGTATAACATTTCAAAATCGGACTGTATTTACCCGAGATATTCAATGAAAATCATCAAAAAAGTTTCGATTTTCGAACCGACCCCGAATTTGAGAAAAAACGTGATGTAACTAACCCCTTGCCATTTTGATGATTTTGGTCAAAAATTAGATTTTTATTTTTTTGATGCCAATCGAGAGAACTGATCCTTACGAGTCGAAAATGGTAAA